TGATTCCGCGTCACAATAAGAGGGCTGACAGGTGCAATTAATGCTAACTATCCCCTTAGGGGCTCAATCAATAACAATTCCATGGAAATCATTGTACAGCAGTTGAGCCTCTGCCAAAACACAATCTTCCCAGATTAATATTTTTAACTTAGAGGACCACTCTTTTTTTTTTTTTTTTTTTTTGAGGCAGAGTCTTGTTCTGTTGCCAGGCACCAGGCTGGAGTGCAGTGACACAATCATAGCTCACTGCAACCTCCACCTCCCAAATTCAAGCAATTCTCCTGCCTCAGCCTCTCGAGTAGCTGCAATGCCACCATGCCCAGCTAATTTTTTATTTTTACTAGAGACAGGCTTTCACCATGTTGGCCAGGATGGTCTCGATCACTTGACCTCGTGATCCACCCACCACAGCCTCCAAAGTGCTGGGATTATAGGTGTGAGCCACCGCGCCTAGCTAGAGGACCACTCTTTATTTTGTCTGCATGTAGGTTTTGGGAAGCAAAACATAACTTTTATTTCCTGAATTATTATAAAAAATACTAAAGCCAGAGATCATATGTAACTGAGCTCAAGTGTGACTTTTTCCAGGTATTATGGCTAGCCATGCTTGAATTTTTGCTTTTAAACATCCTTCCGCTTCTGCTAGGCATATAGGTAGATGTTCAAAGCTGAGAGATTCATCAAAGTACCTTCTTCTTGAGGATGAATTGGGCCCTGATTATCTATTGGCTCCAGCATCCACAAGCTCTCATTAGTGTATACATCTAAGGGGGGATCTAACCATATCACAGATCGCAACAAAGGATCCAATATGTAAAATTTCCTTTCACTTCTGCCCCAACTCCAGGAATTCTCACTGCAGTGGTGATAACCGCCATCATAGCCACCATCAAATTACTTAGAGTTACAGGCTGCCCTGCTTTGAGATTTTGTCTGCAATCCTTTTTTGTATGTCCCCTTTTTCCACAGTTAAGCTCCAGGGAAAGGCATACCTCCTTCGTTTATTTTTAAACCTGCCATGACTTGTGCTAATAAAATAGCTTTGTGCAAATTTCCTCCAGTATCATCACAAGCTTTAATGTACTCCATCAAATGAGCCTTTCCTTTAATAGGTCATATGGCAGCCTGACATTCTGCATTTGTGTTGTCAAATGCTCGCAACTGTGGCACTATGTCCTGACCTTCTGTGTCTGCGATTGCCTTTCTTACTGCTTCTTGTAGTCTAGCTATGAAGCCTGCATATGGCTCCTTTGGCCCTTGTCTCACTGTGCTAAAAGATGGAAATTTTTTACCTCCCGACGTAATCTTTTTCCAGGTTCTTAAACACACCTTCCTAACCTGCTCTATGGTCAAATCAGCCATAGCAACCTGTGCATGTAAGGAGCCCATGCACTGATTCCTGTGAGCTGTTCTGCAGTAATTTTCATTGGAGGCTGAGCATTGGCATTCATATTAGCTTAAATATTAGCCTTGTCAGCCCACCAGGTCCTAAACTGTAGGAAATGAGAAGGAAACAGGCAAGCTCGAGTTAGTGTCCCAGTCAGCAGAAATTAATCTATTAGAGGCGGCCACATTTTTTAACAGACCCAAAACAAACGAAGATCCCGGGCCATATTGGCTAATCGCTTGTTTAAATTCTTTTAAAAGTTTACATGGAAAAGGCTCAAGTGTTACCTGAAACTGTCCTTGTTGATTTGGGGGGTGTATTGTAATAGGAAACTGCCAAGCCTCTGCATCTCCATCCCTGTGAGCCTGTTGTATTCCAGCCTGTATAGACCCAATCCACGGGGGGATCTAACCACGTCATAGGTCGCAACAAAGGAGGAAAAGGAACATATGCCCAATGTGTAGTTTCCCAATTACTGCTGTGGAGGGCGTAAATACTACCACTGGAGCAGCAAATTTCACTTTAGAAACAGCCTCTGATTCCTCTAACGGAGGAATGTCAGGTGGATCTAGCCACTCTTTGGTTAAACACTGAGGAGGGGCTGACAGACTCCTTTTTTTCCTCATTTTTTTAACTTTTTTCTTAACTGGGTTATCTTTAATTTCCTCCTCCCAATTACATTCTCCTTCTTCCGCTGAGTCTTCCTCCTCATCATCAGTTTGAAATGGCTCTAATTCTGAATGCATGGTTGCCCAAACTGACCACACTGGAATAGGAATATCCTCAGCTCCTTCTTTACATGCCTTTTTTAGAATAGTACCCGCTTTTTCCCATTCTTCTATATTCATAGTTCCCTGCTCAGGAAACCAGGGGCAATATCTTTCAACTGCATTAAAACCTGTGTTAAGCGGCTACGACTAACTTTAACTCCCCATCTTCTAAGGAAATGATAAAGCAAGCTAAGATCAGCTTTGCCTGCCGGGCGTGGTGGCTCAAGCCTGTAATCCCAGCACTTTGGGAGGCCAAGGCGGGTGGATCACGAGGTCAAGAGATCGAGACCATCCTAGTCAACATGGTGAAAACCCCATCTCTACTAAAAATACAAAAAATTAGCTGGGCATGGTGGCGCGTGCCTGTAATCCCAGCTACTCAGGAGGCTGAGGCAGGAGAATTGCCTGAACCCAGGAGGCGGAGGTTGCGGTGAGCCGAGATCGCGCCATTGCACTCCAGCCTGGGTAACAAGAGTGAAACTCCGTCTCAAAAAAAAAAAAAAAAAAAAAAAAAAAAAAACTCCGCCAAAAAAAAAAAAAAAAAAAAAAAAAAAAGATCAGCTTTGCATTTGCTTGAACCTTGTCCCGTTGTTACCCTGATGCTTCCAAGCTCCCCCTAATTTACCTGGGAGATTTTTTCAAGCGTTCTCGGGTGTCCTTCAGCTTAGATTAGTTTCTCCTTTCTCCATTGCTCAGGCAACTCTTCATCCTGGGTTTGATTTCCACGTTTGGGCGCCACTTACTGAGACCAGCATGGTCATGGAGACCCCAACTCAGGCGGCACTGAAGGAATTAAGAGTCAGACACAAGTTTACAGTGCAAAGTGGGCTCAGGGGGCTGACAGCATCCCCAGCTGAGAGCCCAGAGCAGACTCTGACCCACGTATTTATTCACCTGTGAATATATTCAAGTGTGAACAAGTGATCATTTCTAACAAGCAGGTGTTCTATGTGTTTTCATAGAATAAAGATAAACTAGGCAGGCAGCTAGTGCCTGTTCACTACTATTTAAAAACAAACTAGAAAGCATTCTGTGCGAGGGAGCAATGGGGGCAGGGCCATGTATCCTGTGTTTTAAGAACTAGTTTAACTATTGCATGACATCTATCTATTGTTTACTTATTCTAGAACGCCCTGAGCAGTTTTCCACCTGCGGACAGCTCGGCGTTCCTTGCCATCGTTTCTCAGTAAACAATATAATTCATCACACACATCAAATTTTGTTCTCATCAATCATGTGACTCAGCCATTATTTCTCCTAGCTATCCACCCAAGAAAACGGAAAACATCCATCCACTCAAACACGTGGATGTGAATGTTCACAGCAGTGTCATGGACACAGAGGGACCACTATGGTTTGAGAGTAAAACAGGTGATGTTACACTAATAAGACCAGGGTAGCAGGTGCCAACCAGGAGGGCCTTGGGCAGCAGGGCACCGGGACGCCCTGTGACTCAGGACTTACGCCTCCAGGTTTGGATGCCACAGACAGACTCAGCTCAGGCAAAAGCCCTCCCTTTGGAAGTTCTCCTTATCCCAAGCTTTTCCCTGTGCCTGGAGTTAGGCATCCTCCAGGCTCTGGGTGGAAGGACAGATGAGCCAGATTGAAGACAACACATCTAGAACAGTGAGTCCCACTTTGTGTCGGGCACTCCTCCACAGCATCCCCCTTAATCCTCCTGCTCTCTGTCTCAAAAAAAAAAAAATTGAAGGACAATTAACACCATCAAATTTGCCATTTTGATGTGTACACCCAGTGGATTTTAGCACATCATAAGGTTATGCAGCCACAGCCACTATCTAATTTGAGATCTTTTTTTTTTTTGAGCCAGAGTCTCACTCTGTTGCCCAGGCTGGAGTGCAGTGGTGTGATCTTGGCTCACTGTAAACTCTGCCTCCTGGGTTCAAGAGATTCTCCTACCCCAGTCTCCTGAGTAGCTGGGACTACAGGTGCCTGCCACCATGCCCGGCTAATCTTTTGTATTTTTAGTAGAGAAGGGGTTTCACTGTGTTAGCCAGGATGGTCTCGATCTCCTGACCTTGTGATCTGCCCGCCTCGGCCTCCCAAAGTGCTAGGATTGCAGGCTTGAGCCACCGCGCCCAGCCCAAGACCATTTTTATTACCAAACAGAAACCCTGTCTCATCAGCAGACCACCAACAGTGGCTGGAAAATAGGAAAGAAAATGAATAGTTGCATCTATACTGACTCTGCCGCCATTTTTTCTTGTTATTCCCTAAACAACACAGTATAGCACCCATTTACGTGGCATCTATATTGTATTTGGTATTGTAAGTCATCTAGAGATGAATCTAATTGTACAGGAGGATGTGCATAGGTTATATGCAAATAAGAGGCCATCGTATATCAGGCCTCGGGCATCTGTGGATTCTGGTATCTGTGGGGGATCCTGGAACCAAACCCCATGGATACTATACCAAGGGACGACTCTAAACCCTCACCCAGGAAGGTTTCTCCCTGGAGGAAGGGCCTAGTTCAGGATGCACGGGGACATGCTCCCTGGAGCGCCGTCCATTCATCTGTTCGCCCATCAGCCCATCTCCGGTGCTGTCCCAGTTACAGCCTTAGCAAGTGGATGTCTCCATCCACTTGCTAAGGCTGTAACAAGAAGGCCCAGATCACGTTTCCAGCTTCGAGGTCTTGGGAAGCTGCTACCAGGATGGAGGAGTGGATCAACTTCCTCCAGGATTCAGAGAGCTTCCCAGCAGCCTCAGGGTCGGGAGAGGAGCCCAGCAGCAGGGTGGGTCAGACGCATGTGGATTGCGGGAGCCTAATGAGGGGAAGAGGAGAAGGCACTGCAGAGGGGTCTCCCGCTGTCTTGCAGCTCTCCCAGGGCAGAAGCTGAGTGCGGATCAGCTGGCCCTGGTCTACAGCACGCTGGGGCTCTGCCTGTGTGCTGTCATCTGCTGCTTCCTGGTGGCGGTGGCCTGCTTCCTCAAGAAGAGGGGGGATCCCTGCTCCTGCCAGCCCCGCACAAGGCCCTGTCAAAGTCCGGCCAAGTCTTCCCAGGGTGAGTGCATGGAACTGGGGTCCTCGCCCATCTCGCTGCTTGGGTGATGAGCCTCGGGCCACCCCTCAGTCCTATCACTGCCCCTGCTTCTATGCAGAGAGGCCCGGGGCTCATCCCTGTTACCTACTGTAGCTTGATAAGATCAGGTTAAGATATCATGGAAGGCAGATACCTGGGAGAGTGGCACCCAGGAAGGGTGGGTGTGGGGTGCTGGCCTTCAGGCTTGCCTGGGCCTGAGGTCCTCGGGATGCAGGGCCATCAGGGCTAAGCACTGGAGGAGCGTCCCCTTGGTGAGCATGGCAGGCTTGGGGCTGGGCAGAAGTGAGAGCCAAGATTTGCCTGCCCACCCCTGTCCCAGCACAGGTTCTGGTCAGCAACTGGGGGACACTGACACTGGCCTGGGGGCGTCCTAGGCTGGTGGGTGATTGCCCTCAGTTCCTGGGCCAGGGAGAGTACGGCAGCCCACACCATCACCCCTACCCCGGTGCAGGGCCAGACTTGGCCCACACCCTCCGCTCTCGCCTCTGCAGGTCACGCAGTGGAAGCCAGCAACCACATGGGCACATCCCCCGAGCCAGTGGAGACTTGCAGCTTCTGCTTCCCCGAGTGCAGGGTGCCCACCCAGGAGAGCACGGTCACGCCTGAGACCCCCGACCCCACTTGCACTGGAGGGTGGGGATGCCACGCCAGGACCACAGTTCTGCAGCCCTGCCCGCATATCCCAGACAGCCACCTTGGCATCGTGTGTGTGCCTGACCAGGAGGGGGGCCCGGGTGCATCAATGGGGACATAAAGGGAAAGGATGAGGGAGACAGATGGAGAGAGGGGGAGAGAGAAAGAGAGATGAGGAGAGGGGAAAGAGCTAGGGAGAAAGATATGGGGAGAGAGAGACAGAGGAGGCAGAGGGAGAGAGACAGAGGAGGCAGAGGGAGAGAGACAGAGAGACAGAGGGAGAGAGACAGAGAGGGAAAGAGCCAGAGAGGCAGAGAGGGAGAGAGAGACAGAGCAGGAGGTCCGGGCGCTCTGGGTCCCAGTTTACAGTGCAGCTGTTAGGTCACCAGCACCGGACCACACGTGATAAAGTCCTGGTGCCTGCTGCTCTCAGCCCCCGAGAGCCCCTCCTCCTGGAGAATAAAACCTGTGGCGGCTGCCCTTCCTCACTGGGTTTTGGTTGTGTCTAATGAACGGAGACGTCCCGCCTATCACCTTCCTGGGCTCAAGTCTCCACCAAACACTGCGCCCTCGGTTTGGGAGGACCTGTGGTGCCCCCATCTCACCAGGCTCCCGAGTAAGCTTGTGACCGTGGGTTGGGCTCTAAGCAGCCGGGTACCCACTGGGGCTCTGCTTCTCTCTTTCTCTAAGAGGGAGAAGGAGACCAAAGAATGCTCTGCAGGGAGGGCGCCTGTGCAAACACCAGGGAACCAGAGGCTTCAGCTGTCCATTTCCTCACAGACACACATTCCCTTCCGTGCCTCTGTAGTGAAGGCATGAAGCACAGCGTGTGTGAATGTGCAGGTGTGTGCATGCATTTGTGTGTGTGTGTACATGCGTGTGTCTGTGCATGTGTGTATGTACGTGTGTGTGTGTTATGGGGGTGTGCAGTGGACGGGAAGGAGAGGGCAACTCTAGCTCAAAGCTGCAAAAAAGATTGAAATTCCCTGGACCACAGCAAGAGAATGTTTTCATTTTCATCCACTTCTTATTAGCATTTACAGCTGTATCTTGAGTAGCACGTAAACCTTAAGTTCTTTAACTATGCTTCGAAGCATTTTCACGGTAAGATAAATCCATAATAATGTACACTGAATTTTGCACCCTGCACCCTCCAAAATTACCTTGCATACCTACACCCACCAAGCGATCCCACATCGCACCTCAGGAGGTATAGACAGGAAGCCAGGGGCTCCATCGCTCATCCTGTCTTTTCACCATCCACCAGGCTGTGTGGGTCCGCTAGGGCTGCCTTAGAGTACCACAGACTGGGCAGCTTCAGCAACAGAAACTCACTGCCTCACAGTCCTGGAGGCTGTAAGTTCACGATCAAGGTGTTGGCAGGAAAGGTTCCTTTCCGGGGCGGTGCAGTAAGGCTCTGTTCCAGGCCTCTCTCCGGGGGTGTAGGTGGCCTTCCTGTGTCTCTTCACTCTGTCTAAATGTCCCCTTTTCATAAGGACACCAGTCAGATTGAATTGGGCACCCCCTACTGACCCTGGTTTTCATTGTTAATTTATTTCAAGATCACATTCTCAAGCACTGGGGCTTAGGACATCAACACAGGAATTTCGGGGGACAAACTCGACCCATCACACAGGCCTTCCCCGAGGTCACCTCTGAGTCATTGTTGTCTACAGGCAAGTTGGCATCTAAAGAGTGTCTGTCCAAGACATGCATCTGTCCCGTGGTCCTGCCAGTCCACACGGCCAATGGTGAGACCAGGCGGCATTGTTTACTCACCGCCGTGCCTCACACACACAGCTGCCTTTTTGTAACAAGGTGGACACAAACCCTGGCACTGGGCAGACACTTGCTGGCTGTGGGCGAAGTGGCCCTACGTCAGTGTGCGGCAAAGACGCAGCTTAGAATGTTACGGCTTGTGGGTAAGGTGCAGATTTCTATTCCTTCTGTGGTTTCCAGATCTGCTCGTCTGAACTGAAGGGGCTCTGGAGGGTACCTCTGGAACAGCCGGTGTGTTAGGGGTGCTGAAAACACAGGGTGCCCAGGCTCAACCCCAGCTTCAACCACACAAATAATCTCGTGGTGCTTCTTTGTCAGTTTTTTAAATTGATCTTTTGTACTTTTTTTTTTTGTAGAAAGGGATCCTTTAGTAGAAAGAAAATTTGAAACTCTAAATACTGTCCACTTTATCCATGTACCGTTGGTCCTACCCTCAAAATATATCCTGATTCCAGCCACTTGTCATGCCCTCTTTAATCTGACTTCCCATCATTTCTCAACTGGATTACTGTACCAGCTTCCCCACTGGCCTCCCCGCTGCCACCTGGCCCCCTCCCCAGGGCTCAGCAAGATTTTTCTGCAAAGGACCTGGTAGTAAGCATCTTGGGCTTGGCGGACCCTGCAGTCTTTGTTGTGCTTACTCAACAACTCCTCAGCTCTGCCGCCGCAGTCCCAAGGCAGCCACAGACGAGAAATGAACACAGGGGAGGAACTGCGGCTCCAATAAACCTTCATTCACCACAAGGTGGGGGGCTGCCTCTGGATTGTGGGCCACAGTTTCCCATCCCCTGCCTGACTTCATGGCAACACTGACCTTAGTATTTATGCCTCTTAAAAACACGTGTAAGCCGAGTGCAGTGGCTCATGCCTGTAATCCTAACTCTAAGAGGCCGAGGCTGGAGGATTACTTGGGGCCAGGAGGTCCAGATCAGCCTGGACCTTCTGTCTAGCAAGATCCCTTCTCTACAAGAAAACATTTCAAAAGCAACCAGGCATGGGGGCCCACACATGTAGTCCCAGCTATTCGGGAGGCTGAAGTGGGAGAATCGCTTGAGCCTGGGAAGTCAGGGCTGCAGTGAGCTGTGATTAGGCCACTGCACTTCAGCCCTGGTGAGAGAGTAAGACCCTGTCTCTTTCTCTGCGCGCGTGTGTGTGCGTGCGTGTGTGTGCGTGTGTGTGTGCATGTGTGTAGTGTGTGGGTGCGTGTGTGTGTGCGTGCGTGTGTGCATGTGTGTGTGCATGTGTGTAGGGTGTGGGTGTGTGTGTGCGTGTGCATGTGTGTACGTGCGTGCATGTGCGTGTGTGTAGTGTGTGTGTGCGTGCATGTGTGTGCGTGTGTGTAGTGTGTGCATGCGTGCATGCATGTGCATGTGTGTGCGCACACATGTGCGTGTGCGTGCATGCGTGTGCGTGTGTTTGTGTGCATATGCTTGTGTGTGTATGTGTGTGCATGTGTGTGTGCCTGTGTGTGTGTGTGTGCGCGTGTGTGTGCATGTGCGTGTGGGGGTGTGTGTGTGGTGTGTGTGGGTTGTCTACAAGATATACCTCTAATTGATCACAGCCAACCCTCAGATAACACGCATAGTGTAGGAACCTTACAACACTGCACTCCCAACTCTTCCCCCACCCATCTTTGGTTTTCCTTCTTTCCACGGATCCTGTGACCATCTTCCGCTTCTCATTGACTCCGCATGAAGGGGATTCCTGGTGGGGGAGGGTGGCTGGTGAGAAATGAGGTGCCAAGAAACCAGCAAAGCGTCTTCTGGCTGTCTAGGGATAGCCCTTGTGTGGTCCCCCGCCCAGTCTCGAGAGTTCTGGGCCGGTCACCCTGGGGCCTCTGTGCTGTGTCTCTGGATCCAGCCCCTGTGGGAAGGACCCTGGGAGACCCAGCAGAGTGGAGTGCCTGGCCTGACAAACGTCCTCCTGTTCCTCTGGCTGTGTGGCTCAGGAACAGGCCCAGACAGTGTGTTCAGGTGTGCCAGGCTACGTCACTGCCCACTTTGTGATGGGCCCAGGACCTTGTGGGGCGAGTGTGAAGCTAGGCACCAGAACCTGGGACCAGCTGCCTCTCCCTGTGTCCTGGAGTGGGAGTCCATTCCGGCTCAAGACTCATATGATGAGGGAGGGAAGGGTCTGTGGACTGAGGGGGACATAGGTAGGGGACTGAGCACCACGCCTCAGGGGTCTGATCAGCTGAACTCTGGGGCTCAGACACAGCAAACCTGGTCAGTGGAGGCCTGGCTAGAGGGGCCTGGCCAGCTGGCCACTAGGTGACCTTAGGCAGGGGTTTGTCCTTGGACCCTCCCTTCCTCCGTCCACAGCAGGGAGGAGCCGTGGCACCCCAGAGGGTTACTGGGAGGAGGAGTGAGGAGGTGTGTGGGATCCGGCTCTGCCACACAGACCTACCCATTACACCCTAGCTGAGTCCCTGCTAAGGAAGGGGCACTGAGCCCCTCTGCCCTCAACCCTCAGCCCTCAACTGTCAGCCGCTCATCTCCCCGTCTGCATCCCCAGGACTGGCCCAGAGGGGGAGGTCTGAGATTGGGGAGCACACAGAGATGTTCCAATGCTGGCTACGGGTCCCAGGGGTAGCGGCAGGGACAAGGACCTGGGTGCACATGTGAGTGGGGCCGCCAGGCCTGGCCACAGCAGTGACACATGCATGTGTGCATCAGGGCACTCACGCATGCGCACACTCACCTGCACAGACACACCGCACACACGCATGTTGTCACTTCAGGGGCTGGAGGGCGCTGACTCTGGGCCCTGCTGACCCAGGCAGGGGCCCACTGTAATGGGTGCCGTGACCCCACAGTGTCACTGGTGCTGGGTACCTACCCGCCTGCCCTACTCTGTGTCTGGAGCTCTTGGAGACAAGACACACAGCGGTGTATGGTTCTGTGCAGAGGAGGCTTTTCCTAAGTGAGAGGCACAGCGGGATCAGCAGACTCAGGTGAGTGTGACCTGCCCTGTTCCCTCCCTGCCGACCTGGGACTGTCGCCACCGGATGGGCGGTGCTGGCCTCTAGGCAGGAGCCAAGGAGGGTCATCCCTGAGCACTCACCGGGTGCCCATTCTGCACTGACCTGGTGGACAGTTGTTTCCTTCATCCTCACAGCAACTTTGTGGAGTGGGTGCTGTCCACAAACGTACCCATTTGACAAGTGAGCTGTCTAGAGTCAGAGAAGCAGATACTGGCCCAGGGCACCAGATGTGACCCTGGAATGTGCTCTCAGGCCTGCCATGTGCTGGGCTGGGCTCAAGCCCTGAACTCTGAGGCCTCCCTGTCCTGGATTTCAAATCTTCCTGGAGTTCTGGACTTCAATGGGGCAGAGCCTGGCCCCAGAAGAGCCACTAAAATAGAGCCCCTATAGGTGGTGGGGAGGTGGGGGTTCTCAGTCCAGTTTTGTGCCTTCAGCTGGAAGGAAGTCTCACCAACTCAGACTTCAGGTGCAGCCACTGACAGTTGCTGTGGGACTCACTGGACACATGGGGTCCTTCGTCTAGGAGTGGGGTAGGGAGCCCTTTGCCCTAAGTCAGTTGTGGAAAATGAAGAAGCTCTGGAGGGCTGCCTGGAGGGTGATGACTGCCCTCACAGTCAAAGGGGCTTGGGGACTGGGACCTTCCCCGAGCAGCCCTTTCTCTGTCTGATTCTCTGGAGGCCTTGCCCTTCGTTTGCCCCAAGTATTCCTGGGAGGGATGGCCCCCCTGGGTGTTCTCTGGGACCAAGACCCCAGAGTTCTCTTGTTGTTTCTTGGTGACCCGGGAAAATGAAGCCCCCACCTGTATTGACAGCTGGGAATTGCGGAGTCTGCTGTCCCTCCACCTGAGACGGGGTCTCCATGAGCAAAGAGGCTGCTCCGGATTCAACAGATCATTTTTCCCCCAAACCAAACATCCTCCTGGCTTGGCTGGCATTATTCCTAACGCGGCTTCCCTTGCCAGAATGAGCGAGAATTGCAATAAAACAGAGCAGACGCCAGATGTCTTGCTTCCTATAGAAAACTAGGTATCTTCATGGAGATCGATCCTATAGAGATGTCCAGTCCCTGACCCCATCTGCCTCCAGGTTCCTGGAACAGCTCATCGTGAGCCCTTTGCCCTCGGCAGGTGGGGGCCAGTTGCCCTGCCAGTGTGGGTATGTCCATCTTGGAGCATTTGAGGACAATAGACCTCTCTTTCCAGGTTGCCCTATGCTCAAGTCCTCAGAAAGGAGCCCACCTTAGGTTGGAGGCAAGGACTCCAGAGACTGGGGCAGGAGTGGGGTCACTGGGTCTGGCCCCATGTCACCTGGAAGAGGTGGCAGGATGGGGCTCATCGGGCCGGAGGGTGTCTGGGGGTACAGCAGGACTGGTTTGGGTATTTTCTGGAGCGCTCAGGCACAGCAGAACCATTGAATGACTTTGTCTCTTGGGATGGTGGTGAATGAGGTCATGGATACCCTGCATATGCAGAGGCGAGGGGACATTTTTGACAACTAGGAACAGGTGCAGGTCAGGCTGCTTCCTTGAGGGAGGTGGGGCCTCACCTCACCTACTGTGTCCTGGTCAGAGGGTCCTGGGCTCCCTAAGATCACAGGACCGGGACAGGCCATCTATGCCCTCGTGCCCCCAAGCCCCTACCTTGCGCCCCTCTCCCTGGCCCCTTCTAAGTCACAGGGATGTGGAGCTATGGACATGAAGCATGAGTGTGTTGACATCTGGAAATTCACCGATCACCTCTGGATTGCAGCGTGAGTCCTCTGTCACCCTACCCACCAGTCTCACCTCAGGGACTGGTTTTGTTTTTAGAAAAGCCTCTCTGAGATGGGACATGTTTCCCTGGCTCACGCCAACCTTTTCTCCAGGGTCAGAGCTCCTCACTGGCTCTCCTGCAGGTCCAGCCCATGGTCAGGGTTAGGGCAGAGCCTCGAGACCCATTTAGGGAGCTCAGGAGAGTGGGTGGGACAGAGGGGGCTGGGTCAGGCCCCTGAGCTCTCAGCACTAAGGGCTCCATGTCAGCAGGAGAGAGAGGGCAGCCTGAGGGTTTGGCCCTGTCCCCTTAGGGTCTGCCCTGGTGAAATCTGAGGGTGGTGGCCACAGGGCTAGGGGACACCTGGTCAGGCCTGTGGACAGTTGTGCCCCTCTGAAAGTTCAGGGGGCCCAGCTGAGGCACCCTATAGGGAGTAGCATGAGGACATAAAGGACTGTGACCATGGGAGGCTGGGGGAGAAGAAGGGCAGGACCTGGCCTGGGCATCTCAACGGTGAGGCCGGGGGCGGGGCGGGGCAACAGAGAGTGCAGCTGAAGGCCCAGGAGCGGTGCTGGGAAGGGCTCTGGGCCTGGGAAGGGGAGCCCAGCCTGGAGCTGACCTCTCAGGACTCACAGGATGGAGAGAGGAGGAGCCTAGGGGAGGGGGGCGGGGTGAACTCTGAGACCTGCCACTTCTGGGACGCCTGCCCGGGGTGGAGCTGACAGTCTGGGGAGGACAACAGAAGGGGTGGGCAGGGAACAATTGCTGGGAAAGGGCTGATGCCTGACCTGCTGATCTGGCACAAGATGGCAGTTAACGGAAGACCACGCTCCCTGTTCAAAGCAAGGAAGACCTCTCTGAAGCACCAGAGCGTGCGTGGTCAGACTTGCTGGCTCTAGCCACAGCCTTTTCCCTCGCTGTTTACCAGCTATATCTGGAGTAGAGCATGCTCTATACCTTCAGAGGAAATGCCAGACCGCCACAGCTCTAGATCATATGCTTGATGCTCCCCTTCTTTTCACCCCCATCCCTGAGCACGTGCTTCTTTGTTTACTCAATAAATAGTGTGGGTCTCCAGTGCCCGGAGCCTTCGCATCGTCCTACTCACTTCGGCCCCCCGGGAGCCCACCTTGATGCACTCTTACTCTTGTTTCTTAATTTCTTTGTCTCTGCCAACCTTTGCTACTTCCTAGGCTGTATCTGGTCCCTTAGCTACTTCCTAAGTTGTGTCTGGTGAGTCACCTGGGACCCCTCAATGGGGGAATCAGTCAATCCCCAAGGCTCTGTGTGACCCTCCAGAGACTCAGTCAGCACTGCAGAGGGTGGATGGAGGGCCCAAGTTGGAGCAGGCAAGACAGTAGGGGAGGACTGCCAGGCACCCCATGTCCCAGCTGCTGCTGTTGTGGCTGAAAGGAGGCTGAGGACTGAAGGCCGCCTGCCCTGAGAGCTAGCTGAGGCTGGATGCAGATGGTGGGGCCAGCCTCATGCCTGCAGGGCCCATGGTCACCTTGTCACCCCAGGTTACTCCCCAGCAGAGCTGGGCAGCCCAGTGAGAGACCTGGGGGTCTCATTCTTAGGCTCTAACAGGAAGAGGGTCACAGAGGGCCAGGGTGGCTGGAGAGGGTCATAGTCTCTGGGCCAGGCAGGAAGGGGGAAGACGGGGAACAGGCAGGGTCAGTGGCCAGGGTGCAGGGAGAGGCAGGTGAACGCTGGGAAGTTAGACCCTGCAAAGCCCATGGAGACTGTCAGGTGGGACGGGCTCCAAGTGCGTCCTCAGGGCCCTGGGCAGCTCTCAGGCCAGGCTCCCTGGTCTCTGGTGGGTGATGTGATCACTCCCAAGGCACTGCTGTCAGTCAGGGCTCAGCCACCACCCTGGACGGCACCCATCCCGTCTCAGGACTGGACTTGCTCAGTTCCCACAGAGGGTGTTGCCTCCAGCCCAGGACAGGCAGCCCCATTGTGCAGCCAGAGGCACCCCACAGGCCCCAAGTGCTCCCCCCAGGCCAGCCTCGAGCTCCCTCTCCTCCAGGCTCCCAGTGCCTCGCGGGCGGTCAGCTCCACAGGGAGGCTCTTGCCTTCCTTCCCTGTGCCTTCTTCCGGGCCGAGACTTAGGATGGATAGGGATGGCTGGTCCTTCCCTGGGGTCCTCTCTGGGAGGGGGATGGCTCCTGGCCTGGGCAGGCTCTCAGCTCTGCCTGGGTTGCCGTACAGTGAGACGGAGCTGCCCTCCGTCAGTGTTCTGGAGGTGAAGGAAAGAGCCTGGGCCTGCTGTGTGGGAGGCTGGTCCCGGGGCAGGGAATCGGGTGGGTGAGGCAGCGGGGCTGGCCCACGGGCCCAGGTGGTGAATGGGCCACAGCTGTCACTGGGAGGGGCAGCCATTCCTGCTGGACTCTGTCCCCTGAGGGTTTCACCAAAACCCAAGAACTGCTGGCCCAGAGGTCACTGCCTGTTTGCACCAAGTCCTGAGCTGAAGCCTGGGACTGACCGAAACTCAGGGCGTCTGTGGCCTGAAGATGGTGTTTCCTGGTATCACCAGTCCAGACTGCCAGCTCCAGTTAGTTCAGAGGACCTCAGCCCCTGGGATCTGCCCTTTCCTGGCTCCTTCCGGTTGGGTCCCTTCCGGGCCCTGAAGCCCAGGACCCAGCATCCACGGGCCGCTACCAGAAGCCTGACAGCTCCGCTAACTCCATCATGGCCCATTTCACAGCAAAGACGTCAGGAAATAACACAGATTAAGAAGTGGCTGAAGATGCTCAGAGACTGACCGAAATACAAGAAAAACAAAAAAGCAACAAGGGGAAGGAAGGGCCCCCGTGACTGCTCTCTGCAGAGCCAGGAGACAGGTGCCCATGGCTGTGACCTGGCACCACCTGCCTCTCAGTGGGTGGGTGGCACCCATCCTCACCATAGACAGCAGGCCTGCTCGCCAGCTTTCCTCGCTGGGGCCGCCCCATGTCCTGTCTCACTAGAGTGTTCTTCTGTCTGTAGCTGTCTCAAAGAGTGTACGAAGGCATTCCTTTGGCGGTACAGGGCAGGGCGTGGTCACTCCTCCTTGACATGGGCAAAGTCAAGGCTGAGAACCTGGGGAAGTATAGGGTAAGACTCTCCCACACTCAGCCAGGGCAGGACAAACACGCCAGGCCGTGGCAGGTGCCCAGGACCCCAGTTGGAGGGAACGTGGAGCCCAGGTTGGGGGCTGGGGTTGTGGTCAGATGCACATCCAGGCACAGACGGTGACTCAGGCACCACAGGTGGGCTGGGCTCTGCTGCCCCTCCCTGGCTTCAGAAACAAGGCACAAAGGAGCTTCTGCAGAAGGAAACCTTCCTCCTTTCCTTGCAGAAGTGCTGACTGTGGGATGGCTGCTGTTTGGGGCAGGGAGTCTTTTGTCTGTTCTGAGGCTGCCTCCTCCTCTTGGCCCTTCCCTACAGGTCATAAAGGAGAAGGGCAAGAGTTCCTCCAGGATCATCGGCCGCATCAAGCCAGATGTCAAGCACACCCTCCAGAAGCACGAGATGTTCATAGAAGGACTCGGGGTCACGTAAGGCCTGTGGGGGCTGCAGGGGTACCAGGGAAGATGGGGCAATCCAGGGAGAGGAATGAGGGCTTCCCCAGGGCAGAGGCCAGAGTCACCCAGGAGGGGTGACAGAGCCACCAAGGGCTCTCCTGCCCCAGGGAGCAGCCGGCACCATGGACTGAGCACCTCCAGAGCTCTAAGCCCTGGGCCAGGCTGGGACGTGTGATTCCAGAACTCAGGTGGCTTCTAAGGAGACAAAAGGCAGCAAAAAAAATCATACAGAATGGTGAAAAGTGCTGTCCATGGCCCACAGGTACCCAGGGTAGGGACCCACGTGAAGGTGGCAGGATGGTGGGGCTCAGGAGCCTTCAACACTGACAGCTCACAGTACCAGGGAGGATGCAGGGCCCGGAAACTCTCATCCGTGGCTGGTGGGAATGCAACAGGGCACAGCCACTTTGGAAGTCAGTTAGGCCACGGCTCACAAAGCTCAGTGGCCTCATACCACATGTCCCCAGCGTGTCACAGATATTGACCACACTGATTTCAAACTAACGTCCAAGTAAAACCCGCATGCCACGTTCACTGTGTAATTGTCACTCACACCCAGAGGCTACCGAGATGATCTACGACACGGGAACTGGGGAGGAAGGGGGTTCCACTCTTCAGACAGAGACGACTCAGTGAGGAAAAGGAACGAACCCCTGATGCCTGCAGGAACATGGCTGGAACTTAGATGCGTCTTGCTGAGGGAATGAAGCCAGACCCAACAGGCCACACCACTGCAGGATTCCAATTCCTAGGCCATTCTGGAAAAGGGTCTAGACTGTATTCAAAGACCACAGAGACAGAGAATAGGTCAGGATGGCCAGGGGCTGACGGAGCCAGGAGAGGTCGGCTGCAAGGGGGACACGCTGGGGACTTGGCGGATGAAGGAGCTGCTCCAGGAGGGGCTGCAGTGGTGGACAGGAGGCCCTGCACATTAGTTCAGAGCCGTGGAACTGCACGTCCCAAAGACTGGACTTCTGCGTGTGTGCAAACCGAGAAAGGGGGGAAGAAAAAAATCATGCAGAGTGAAAATGATCACTGATCCAACTGTACACCGTGATATTTGCATTGCAAGGAATGTGGATTTTACTGAAACAATTCCTAAAAACTCGGGTGTCCTGAAGAGCTCACTGCTTATTTGTGGGATCATCCAAACCCAGAATTGTGTTTGTTGTCCGGGTTTGTAGACAAGATGAAACTGACAGCATATGCACAAAACAAAGAAAACTCTCTTTTCCCACTTTTCCAGGCAGCAGGAATTATGTGACATTCTCGTGGCCCACTCTGCATATAACCCTGTGAGTATTCCCGGGCAGTGGTATTCCTGGGCATATTCCCATATTCACAGGCATGGGTTTCTCTCAGGGGTGTCGGCACTTCTTGAAAATTCAGTGTTCGTGACCCACCAGAACGTAGTAAGCAGGACTCAAGCTCACTGCTGGCAGAAGAGGGTTGAGGCCCAGACTCCTGGTGTCACATGGACCCAACCACCACATCTCAGATGAAGAAATAACCTTCCCCTCTGGTGTTGCCCCAAAGCTTGGGAGCTTGGCAGGGTCCCACACAGGATGGCCCTCACAGGAGACAGGTCTGACACGTTGCTGAGGTGCCTGATGGGCCAGGCTCTTGTCATGAAATGAGTCTGCATCCTGAGGAAGCCTCTTCTTCGCTGGAAACCTGGAAAGGATACAATTTCCCCTTTGCCCAAACCCCATAGGAGCACAGCAGATAGGGGTGGGGATCACCCAGGTGGCTGCTCCTGCTTGGCCCCCACTTTCCAGACCATTCCAGGCAGGGAGAGCCGCTGAGCCGACTCCACGGGTTGCCCACAGGGGGTCTGGACCCAGCCGCCCTCCTGTGCCCAGCAGGGAGCCCCTGGGCTGTTGTTGCAGGACCTTTGTGTGGTGGTCAGCACCCCGCCGCCTGCCCTCATGGCGGGTGCAGTTCACAGGTGCTGCACCAGGCCTAGCATAGTGGCCTCTCCAGCCTGGCCCAGGTGAGGGGCATGAACAATCCCTGCCTGTGCCCTTTTGGGCCATGTGAGCTTGAATGCTCACGGCAGGGGTCCCCCCAGGCCCCTTGTCCACTGAGTTGTGTTTGACCTGCTCTGTCCTCATGGGCCAGGGGAGGGGTGCAGAGGCTGCACCTCAAATCCCCTGGGACCTGAGGCAGGTGTCCCTGAGGACCTCTGCCACCTCTGGTGACACGAGCCCTCCCAGGTGACATCCTTCTGCAGTGACTCTGGCTCTTGCAGGAGATATGCTACCACAGGGACCTGAGCCGCATCACCGAAATCCTCCTGTGTCTGCCAGAGGAAGATGCCTTCTGGGCGCTGACCCAGCTGCTGGCCAGTGAGAGGCACTTCCTGCAAGGTAGGTGGACATCTGTCCCTGGACACAGCCATGCCGGGGGATGACCACCCTGGCCAACAAGCCCGACTTCCAGGCAAGCCACCTTCCTTGTATCCCAGCTCATTTGGAGACTCCAGGACGTCCCTGCTGAGGTCCTACAGCAGCCTGGGTCTGGGCAGGGACCCCCTCATGTCAAGTCAGACGCCTTTCATCCCCAACAGCAGAGGACATCGATACCTCCCCCTGGTCGCCCTCTATCACCGAAGCCAGCCCTGACTTTGTGTAGGTGCCACTCACCTCCATGAGTGTCTTCCTGCCTCCCAGCTGGCTGTGCTCCCAGCCACCCTCCCTCCCCACGGATGGGCCAGCAAGACCAAGATGGCAGTGTCTGCCCTTCCCATGTCCCCCAACCTGACCTCACATCCAAGAGATGCCCACATAGCCCCGAGCTCCCACCCTGTTCTCCCTGCTGGCACCTGCCTCATGGTGTCAAACGCAGGCCTGCCCTCCTGGCACCTGGACCCAGGATGCCGCTGGGCAGGGCCTCCAGCCAGGACCCACCTCCCTAGGGCTAAGGCCACATGAGGGGTCACCAAGATGGAAGGGAGGGAGGCCTCGGGGTCCAGGGTCCGCTGCCCTGCCCAGCTCTTCCAGCTGATGCCGCCACATCTCGGGAGTGGGCTCTGATGGGATGATGGGTCGGGGGCTTCTCAGCATTCTACAGCCCAAATACAGCCCCGCTGCAGAAGCTCCTATCGCACCAGGAGCAGGTGTTGCACAAGTCCTTCCCTAAGATCATGAGACACCTGGTGAGTGGATGATGCCCTCGGCTCCTCCCCAGAGGCCCTGGGTCCCATGGGCCGGGGAGTCCCGAGCTCCTCATGGGGCTGGCAAGAGGCCAAGTCCCAGTCACAGCCTGACCTGGGATGGGCATTCTCCATGGGTTCAGAGTTGGGTTTCCTTTTTCTGCCCTGGAGGAGGCAGAGACACTGGGACCAGGGCCAAGCCACAGCTGAGCAGGGCTGAGGGAAGTTTGTCCACCGGGCATCTGTACATGGGGCAGGTGTTGGAGCCCTGGCCACCGTCCTGGGTTCTGTCCCCTGGGGAAGGGTCTGCAGAGGGGCCTGGAAGTGAAAAGATTTCAGGGCAACCCAGGGGGCCCCGAGCACCTCTGCTCCTTTCTTCAGGGCAAGGAAGGGCTGTGCATTGAGGGTTCCAGGCTGACGAGGCTCCTCCAGTGTTTCGTTGACGGGGTAAGGAGGCACAGGGAGACCCCAGCCCTGGGACCCTCCTGCCCAGTAGTGTCCAGATCCCTCAGCCCAGGGGTCCAGCTCCCCCAGGAGGACCTGGCTCACCCCCAGCCTGCAGAAGACACAGGCAGGTCCCTGCAGGGCACACAAGCCAGGCCCTGCCTGAGAGGGGACATTTCATGACAGAGGCCAGGGCTCAGGCCCAGCCTTGTGGGCAGACTGGGTCAGGACCTGGCTTGGGAGGGCCCAGGGAAGCCCCAAGTCCTCGGGAAACCCCTCCTCAGAAGCCACAGCGCTAATGAGATGAGTCCCCAATGAGGACCTTGTCTGACCCAACCTCATGGCAGGTCTCATCCCATGGAGAGGGATCCCCAGCACTCCAGGGGACTGAAACCCCAATGCGCCCTGCTCACGCCACCAGCCCCAGCCTGGAAAGGCCAAGTTTTCCCACACCTGCTCTCCCTACAGAAATCCTTCGGGCTCACCCTGCAACTGTGGGATGTGCTCATCTTGGAGGGCGAGAGGGTACTGACGGCCATGGCGCATGCAACATTCAAAATACACAGGAGTGAGTCACGTGTGCCCAAGGGTGCCTGGGGGAACATGCGGGACAGACCCTGGCTGGCCTGAGGGAGCTGTCCTTACACTGCCTGCTCCATCGGGTGGCGGGTGTGGCCTGGTGGGCTAGGCAAGGCATGCTGACACTGTGCCCCAACGTGACCCAGATGAAAGTCAGGAGTGTGGTGCACTTCCCTGCACAGCCTTCCCCGGCTGTGGCCTCCTGTGCACAGCTCAACCCGGGTGGCCAAAAAGGACCCGGCACTACCCAGGGGGAGGTGGGCCTGGTGGAAACAGGGTGTGGGCACCGCCCCTCCCAGGGAACCCTCCTGGCCTGATGCCCGCCCTGTCCCTAGAACTTTCCTGGAACACAGTCTGGGAATTTCAGAAGCGGCTAAGAGCTGGGCCCTGAAGGACAATGCCGTCCTCAGGAGCCTTCAAGCCTCCATGAAGGAACTCACAAGGACACACTGGGACCTGCCACCCCCAGGTGGGCTCCAGCACCAGGTCCCCATTCCAGGAGTGACCTGAGGTTCCTCGAAAGCTCCCCCACCCCAGACTGCTCACAGCCCTGGGATCAGCTGCCTGCAGGGTCGTCCTCAGTGTCAGGCTAGGGGGCCACACAGGGACCCCGACTCCAGAGAACCAGACCTGTGGGGCATAGCCCTGAAGAGATCAGATGGCGGTGAGGATGCTGACCACGTCTGTTTCTTTTTTTCAGCTGAGCTCAAGCAAGTGTCCTCGAGAGTGTCCCCTGGCATTGGGACTCTCTGTGAGGGGGACAGACTGACCCTGCCTACCTCTCCAGCTCATATCCAGGAGCTCATGCTATCAGCCCGCCTGCAACAAAAACCTTTTCCTCTGCCAGCCTGGCCAGACAGGGCTATCCCTAAGGCCAAGGTTGAGGCCCATCAGCACAAGGGGCTTCCCAAGAACCCAGAGCTGCAGGCTACACTCTGGGGGGCCCAGAGGCTCAAGAAGAGGGTAGCCTGTCCCCCGGCGAGGTCAAGCTTTGCATTCCATGGAAACGCCCGTCCAGGAGTTCCGTGCTACTGCTCCACCCAGAACCGCCCGTCATGGACCCGTGTTTTCTGCACTGCCGTTTCCAACACTGCTCCAGGGACTCTGTGGGGGCTTCTCCAGGACCTGGGCTGCACACTTCACTCTGGAGGGCCCAGAGGCTCAAGATGAGGGCCGCCTGTCCCCCGCTGAGGTCAGGCTTTGCATTCCACGGAAATACTCATCTGGGAGCTCCGTGCCGCAGAGGAGGGCAGGTATCCACACAGACCTGCCCGCTGGGGACCCGTGTTTCCTACGCTGCCATTTCCAACATGGCTTCTGGGACTCTGTCACTTCTGCATCTTCTGTGAACAGCCCTGGAACTACAAGACGGACCCCACCCAGCGAGCCCAGTGGAACCCTGACACCAGGTCCTGCCTGGGCTTATGACAGAGAGGAGGCACTTCAAGAGAAACCCCAGCAACAAGGTTTCCCCTGCATGCGACTCCCCTGGGTAGAAGAACAACATGGCATGGAAGGAGCCCAGGGGCTCTCTGCTCAGCTGCCTCGAAGACCTAGATGGCTGCTGGACCTTGTTTTATACAGCCCTTTTAGGTTTACTTTATGTTTTTGGCTTCTGGGCCTTGGGAAATACGACTCGATGGGGAACTTGGCCCCATCAAGGCCTCTGGAGGGAAGGCTGAGCATGGGGTTCCCGCAGCCCCCACCAGCCAGCAGCATGCCCTGGGACCTCTGACCACACCTGTGGGTCAGAGCCCCTCCCCCAGGGCCCAAGTCCAGGCATAGAGGGACCTGGCTTCAACCCAAGTCCTAGGTGGAAAGGGGCACAGAGGGTCCCCAGGTGACCACGCAGGGGACCAGGGCACTGCGAGCCCTGGGTGCTGCGAGGATTCACATCAGAGAACCTGGGCAAGCCAGACCAGAGATGCTGAGCTGTGCAGTGATGATATGGGTGGCTGGCACAGGGGTCAACAGCTGTGAGCACTGCTGCCTCTTCCTGACTTCATCACTGCAGTGCGGGCAGTCAGCACCCTGGAGCCTGGCCCAGCAGCCGACCGAGCACCCTGGTCTGCTATGCCAACATGCCACTTGGAAGCATTGAGGCCCTGCCTGCTACAACATTCCCCTCCTGAAAGTCTTGTCCTGAAGCCTAGCCACTGCCGCAGCCACAGGAGGTACCACTGCCAAGCGCCTTCCAGCCGGGCTTCCCAGAGGGCAGAGGTGCCTCAGCAGCTCAGTCTGAGAAGGTAGTTTCATCCATATTTCCATTGTTCCCACAAAAGAGATTCCCTACAGAGGATGCTCTTGATCAAAGGTGGGTAAAATGGCATGCCAGGTGGACGGAGTCAGCTCCTTTCCCTGGCCACCACATTAGGTTGGGGACAAGTGGCCATCAGGCAGGCTTGGGACATGAGAGGCTCAGCATGCTGCATGTGGCCTGACCAAGGCTGACCAGGCCAACACCACTGCCAAGCGCCCCATCTGCTGATGAGAGACATGGTGTCAATCCCTGGGCTGGCACTATTTCCCAGGAGGACCGGCTGGCCACCTGTGGGTAGGATGCCACACTATGGAGGGGTCTGAGATCGGCCTTCACTGCAGGGAGCCCCTACCTGGATATAGACTTGCCTTGCCTGTCCTTCCTGTCACCATGATGGCAGCCTACATGGCATTGCTTTTGACCAGGTCATTTCATTCACAGCGAGGGACATGCAGCAGTAACCCCAGACCAAGGAACTAACTGTTCTTACTACATCACCCACTGCCTGGAAGCCACTGGGCTTAGGATCACTCAGTTATGCTGAATTTTATCCTTTCTATTGGAAACCAGCAGATGGCGCTGACTCCCTCACAGCCAGAAGGTACAGGTCTGAGAGTCAAGGTGTGAAAGCAGACAGTGTTCAGTATTGCACGTCATCTCTCAGTCACAGAGTTTTCTATTCCTGTCCTGGAGAAATGGAGCTTTGCTGGTTGGAAGGTCTTAGGACCCAGGCAGAGTGAAGCTTCCTCCAGGGGAACACAACAATGTTTCTATTTAATGTGAAGAGACTGGACTAAGTCTGAAACTCGGGGCATTCTCTGTTCTTGGCGTTTCAGTGTAAAGAAAGTCAAATAACTTGCCACAAAGGTTTGCCACAGAGGAATCTGAAGAAAGAGGGGTCAGAACTATTCAGAACTCAGAGGCTTCAGAGTCAAAGATGAGGCCAAGCAGGAGAATTGTGACCCGCTGAGGGTGGGGGAAGTATGGGGGCAGCTGGGACAGGACATCATAGAGGTCCACTCCCACCTTGTGATCTGTCACAGGACCGTGCACTAGAACAGCTGCGCACATTTTCTCTCCACTGATTATAGTATTTCTTTCCATTAGCGACCCTCCAATCACTAAGGGAGCTTCCTATCAAACGCACATTGCTATACCACAGCCTGGGTCTTGCAATCCAAGCCTGGCAAGGATTCCTCCATGTCAAGGGCCTCAGGTGACTTTCACGCACACCCAAGGACAGAGTCCTAGATGACACCTTCCTGCTCAAAAAAGAAGGAATGAGGGTCAACGAATAGCGAGCCAGTCACGGAAAAGGATAAGATGTGAGTGTGTGGCCTTCCTGACAGCCAGGCAAGACTTTGGGCACAAAGCTGGGCTGCACCTCTGACCACTGACTCAGACCAGGGACGCCCCCACGCAGGCCGGTCTGCCCTGTCTGTTTTTCTCCCTCCTGCCACCCTCTCTTCCACTGTCTGTGTTAGGAAGGGAGAACCTGCCGGTTTTCAGAAGAAAATGTAGCTTTGTTATGACATAGGAAAGACTGCAAGTTATTAGGGAAGGAGGAGGAGTCAAACAGCTCCCGAAAATCAGAGGAAAAAGGAAGGTGTGAGTATGCTGGTAATAAAGCCTGGAACCATAGCACAGTGATGAGAATGTTGTTATTACAATTTTTGTTTTCAAAGTTATGGTAAACAAAACAGTCTCTTGAATTGTCAAAAGAACAGCAATTTTACACCATGAAAAGCATACACACCAAGCCAGAATAAATTACACTTGGGTCTATATGTTGCAGTGGTGCTGGTGCCGGAGGGAGCATCCGTGGAGGTTCCAGTGCCTGCCAGGGAGCCCAGACTTACGGAGGGCGCTGGGGATGGAGCGAGGCTGCATACCGCTGAGCTTAAACACTCCCTTCCAGCATCAGAAGACAGAAAGCCCATTCGTCTTCCTGTGAAGCACTAAAACAACAGCCAGCATCTCAGAAACGCAGGCGATTTTTAATACACTGGTGTGAATGTGTTGGGGGTCACCCGGGAGTCCCTTAGTGGTCAGATGCAGTTTGTCACAAACTGGTTTCCTGAATTTCGTATTGGATAGGGAGCTAAAAGAAGAGAGATTCCCAAACCCATCATGTAAATACTTGGTTCTAACAAAGTAAAATCACAAGAGCACATCAAACACAGGACCTAATGCCCAGGGCAGTGCCCAGGGCCACTGCCCCCCTTGGATGAGAAGTTCTTTAGCAGCAGGCACAGAGGTAATTACTTAGAAAGGCAATGCCACAGTGAATAAGGGGGATTAACTTGGATACAAACATTTAGAATGATGCCTGAAAAAAACTAATGCGGCTCCACTTCTTTTCTGGATTCTAAAGTTTCCAGAGCAGCAGCCACCCCTAAATGCAAATTGAGACAGGATAGAGCCCAGGGGGAAGTGGGGAGGCAGGCTTGGCCAAACCACAGGCAGCTGCCAGAGAGGCCCACACACCTGCCTTTCACACTCTGTGATGGACACCCCAGGAAAGCAGGGGTGTCCCTGTAACTGCCAAACAGGTTCACCTTACCTGCTGCCTAGACAGAGCCAATTTACCGAGACAGGGGAATTGCAATAGAGAAAGAGTAATTCACGCAGAGCCAGCTGTATGAGAGACCAGAATTATTAATTGAATCAGTCTCCATTTGCATGATCCATCAGCATTTGGGGATCAGAGCTTGGAAGGATAATTTGGTGGGTGATGGGAGAGGCCAGTGAGTCAGGAGTGCTGATTGCTTGGGTCAGAGATTAAATCACAGGGAGTCGAAGCTGTTTTGTTGAGCTGAGTCAGTTCCTGGATAGGAACCACAAAATGAGATGAGCCAGTTTATCAATCTGGGTGGTGCCAGTTGATACATCAAGTGCAGGGTGGGTAAAATCTCTCAAGCACCGATCTCAGGCTTTACAATAGTGATGTAATTCCATGGAGCAATTTGGGGAGGGTCAGAGTCTTGTAGCCTCCAGCTAAATGACTCCTAAACCATAATTTCTAGACTTGTGACTAATTTTTTAGTCTTACAAAGGCAGTCTAGTCCCGAGGCAAAAAAAAAAAAAAAAAAAAAAAGGTTTGTTTTGGGAAAGGGCTGTTATTATCTTTGTTTTAAAGTTTAAACTATAGGTGGGGCGCAGTGGCTTACGCCTGTAATCCCAGCACTTTGGGAGGCTGAGGCAGGCAGATCACAAGATCAGGAGTTTGAGACTACCCTGACCAACTGGTGAAACCCCATCTCTACTAAGAATACAAAAATTAACTGGGCGTGGTGGCATGCAGCTGTACTCCCAGCTACTCAGGAGACTGAGGCAGGAGAATTGCTTGAACCCAGGAGGCAGAGGTTGCAGTGAGCCGAGATCGCACACTGCACTCCAGCGTGGGCAACAGAGTGAGAATCCACCTCTTTAAAAAAAAGAATTCATGTGCATTAAAAAGTTGCATGGGCTTGCATGGGCCAAATCAAATTCAGCTAAAAGCCAAATTGGCCATGATCCATCAGCTTGAAATCACTGATCAAGGAACTCAAAGATCCTGCCTCCCTTTTACTCAGAGATTCCATTTCTAGGGATCCACCCACAAGAAATAATCCAAAAAGTGGGCAAATTTTGACACATACACTTAAGTATCACCTTTATTTATTTATTTATTTTATTTTTTGTGAGACAGAGCTTCACTTCCGGCCTGTTGCCCAGGCTGGAGTACAGGGGCGTGATCTCGTCTCACTGCGACCTACACTTCCCAGGTTCAAGTGATTCTCCTGCTTTAGCCTCCAGAGTAGCTGGGATTACAGGCACCTGCCACCACGCCCAGCTAATTTTTGTATTTTTAGCAGAGATGGGGTTTCACCATGTTGGCCATGCTGGTCTTGAACTCTGACCTCAAGTGATCCACCCACCTTGGCCTCCCAAAGTGCGGGGATTACAGGCGTGAGCCACCGCGCCCGGCAAGTATCACTTTTAAACCGCAAAGCTGGAAAGTCTCTGAATACCCAGCAATAGGGGAAACGTAATGAATGTTTTGCAGCCACTTAGAATGGCTTACAGGAAGACTGTGAAATGTCATCAGTAGATATAGGTGATATAATTTTAACGATGGTCGTTCAATATCACCGCCATTGTCATCTACTATGAACATACACTTTGTTTTTGTGACAAAAAGAAGACGGGTTCCCCCAGGCCTCCTCTCCTGGCTGGGGTCGTGTGGCTCAAATAGGTCACCTCCCCACCGCCCACCTCTCCTCCATTTCCAAATTCGGAGTGATGTCCTGATATAACGTCTCTTGGCACTTCCCACGTTTGATTCGCATTTTAAGCACGTGACTGTCAGGAGTGCATCTCCACACACCGGTTTCCCTGTGGCTGGCTGCGTGCTGGTCCACAGCCATTTGCCCTGCCGGTCACATGGAGGAACTGCTTTGGGCAGAAATCCACTCCCTGTCCCACCCATCCCTGTTTTTCATAAGCACCCGAATCAAAACAATCTTGAACATCGTTTCTCACTTTGCTGGTCAGCAGGGACGCACCTGTCTCCAAGAATTCAACACCATGGACAACGGGGTTCACTGTGCGGCCGTTTTTGACCGTAGCCCTTTCTCTAAACGGCTGGGGTCACAGCCTCTTCCATTCTTCCCTCTTGTACATCTTGTCATGGAACAGACGCTACACGCGGAAACCTGACAGTTCTTTCCAGGCTTCGACCTGGAAACCCGACTCCGTTCGGAGTGTTCTAGGCCCACACATCAGTGACGGTGCCTGAAAACAGAACTAAATTCCGGCTGTAGAGTCCACAGCAAGTGGGGAGGTCACGCCCCTACTGAATGCATGAACAACACTAGGATCGGGACAGCACAGGCCGTGGGGCACAGAAAAGGGGACCCTAACCCGGCTCAGCCTCCCTAGGAGACGCCGCTCAGCTGTGTGCTGTGAGGCACATGTAGAGAGAAAATGCCTCACAACCAGCAAGCCAGTGCAGTGTGGCGCAGGCCCATCCAGTGGCCCGCAGCGCCCTGCTGGGCTCAGAGGACAGTGGACGCTGCAGGGGGTGGGGCGGGGCTGCGTGGAGGGAGCCGTGTGTGAGCTGAGCCTCTGTGCTGAGTTCGGTAGCGACCTCCCCAAAAGTCATGTCCACCCACTTGTGAAGGTGACCTGACGTGGAAACAGGGTGTCTGCAGATGTGATGAAGACAAGGGCTTACCAGACTAGGGAGGGCCCTCACCCAGTGACTGGTGTGATTATAAGGCCGGGGCATTTGCACAGAGACACAGGGAGGAAGCCACATAAAGACAGAGGCAGAGGCTGCTGTGGTGCGTTCAGAGCCCAGGAACACCGTGGGAGCCGGCCACCCACAGAAGCCAGGGAAGGGGCCAGGAGAGGCGGCCATGACATTCATTTTACGGGGCTGCCCATGACATTCTTAAGTTTCTCATATTGCTGGGTATTCAGAGACTTTCCAGTTTGGGGTATAAAAGTGATACTCACTGGGCGCAGGGGCTCACTCCTGTAATCCCAGCGCCTTGGCGGAGGCGGGACCTGCCGACCCCTCGATCCTGGACTCTGGCCTCCAGAACGCTGACAGGATAAACTTCTGTTGTATTAAACCCGGTTTTTGTCACTGTGTGATGGCTGCCAAAAGGCACCCCAGCAGCTTGAAGGAGACCTTGTCTAAAGGCCCCTCAGCACCTGTGGGTGGGTGGCCACTCCTCTGGGGTGACAGCCCCCCTGGGTGACAGCCTTCCTTGTTAACAGTCCTCTTGGGTGACAGCCCTTTCTGGGCGACAGCCCTGCTGGGTGACAGACTTCCTGGGTAACAGCTCTCCTGGGTGACAGGTTTTCTACGTAACAGCTCTCCTGGGTGACAACCCTCACTGTCCCTGAGTGGCTGCCTGGCATCCTGCAGAGAACCAGGCACCAGCACCTCCTGATGATCACCAGCAGGTGGCGCCCCTGACCTAAGCACTGGGCCCCTCTGCACCCTGGGCTCTGGGTGGCGCTGGGAGGGAGCCAGCTTGGGCGGGATGGAGCCCTGGGCCGCCTACCCTGGACTGAAGTCAGGTGGTGAGCACGAGTCAATCCGGCTTCTTTACCTTCCTGAGGCCTCGGTCAAGGGGCTGGCTTCCTGCCCTGTGCAGAGGTTTAGAGGACTGTGTCCCTGGGGCAGTGGGTGCAATAAATTTCAGGACTCCGACCCAGGTACAGGGGGCACAGGAGGGCAAAGGCTCCCTATGTCTCCCCTGGCAGTGGCCCCTCGTCACAATCTGGGAAAATGTCCAGAGGCTGTGCTGGGTGGGGAGTTTTGCAAACCAGTCCAGTGGGTCAAAACCAGCCCAGCCACCGCGCTGAACACAGACTTCTGTGGTGGGTCACACCTGCAATCCCAGGGCTTGGAGAAGCTGGAGGCAGGAGGATGGCTTGAGCCCAGTGCGACACTGCCTGCCCCCTGCACCCCAACCTGAATGACAGAGCGAAGCAAGACCCTGTTGTCTCTTTATTTTAAAAAACTTTTTAAAGGTAGGTTCTGGAGCCTGACTATCTGGTCCAACTCCGGCTTTGCCGCTGTCTTGGGCGGGGGAGAGTCAGACCCTGGGACAAGGATTCCAGAGCAAGTGCTTGGTTTGGGAGATGCAGGAAGCCCCAGGGGAGGGTGCGAGAGGCAGGGACGGGAAGAAGCCAGTAAAGGTTTGTTATCAAGGCAGTTACCAGTGAAGCTCCAGGCTCCCGGCTGAAGGGGAGCCCTGGGAGACAGCATGCAGCAGGCCCCAGAGCAAACTCTGAGGAGCAAGGGGAGTAGTTGTCCGCCACCCCCACAGCCATTGGTGGCCGAGAGCCTCTCCTGGGGCAGGGACTCTCCAGGCCTCCAGC